GGCCAGGGTAGGGTAGGTTAATGGAAAAATTTATACCTGCTGTCAGGTTAATAGTTAGGTATAATATTTTCTTATATCTAACTACAGAACAGCTAAGAATAAAATAATTAATTATTTTAATTATTCTTAATACTAAGACTTACCTGCTATATTCTTTTAAGTCTTAACACGGGTAAGATATACTCAGGTTAATAATTATTTATTCTAATTATTTATATTTTTTTAATAATTAACGTAAGACTAATCTTCTTAATTTTAAAGATAATTACTAAAATGAAAATAATATATTTTATTTTATTTTTAATTAATTAATCTGAAATTATCTTGGATAATAATAAAAATTAGATTTTTAGAAAAAAGCTGCTCTTATAATATAAAATAATAATAAATATATATATTTACAGCTTTATTTTAATTATATATTATTAATAAATTATAAATATTTTTTAAATATTTTTCCAGGCTGGTAAATCTCTCCGAAAATTATTTTAAATAATAATAAATATATTTATTAATTTTTTTACAGATTTAAAAAGGCCTTTAAATATTTATAATAAATTTTAATATTCTAAATTATTTATATTACTGTAAGGATCCAAATCCTTATAACCCTCGCGATACTCATTATCGCGAGGAATACCCATACTGATAACAGTCCCGTCGCGAGGTTTGGTTAGTGCTTGCCACGTGACCCACAGGCTACCCGTGAATACCTCGCCATTCGCGGGCAGAGTCAGGATAGTTAGCAACAACATCTTAAGGAGATCAACCCTACGTTTCGTATTCGCGAATAAGACATACTCTTCACACTATCTCACTATATTCACCCTTATAATTACTAAATTATAATATTTTTATATTATTTTATTTATTTAATTTATCTGGAAACCTGTACTTGCTGATAACTATAAATATAAAAAATTTGGAGGCAGTATTCTATTAAAATTTATAAAAAAATTTTACAGATTTTATTAATAATAATTATTATAATAATTATAGAATATCTTTATAGAACTTCTACTTATATTACTAGATAAAACCTAACTATCTATTATATCAGAGTTATTTTATATAACAGTTACTAGATATTATAAAATCTTATTTATAAATAAGATTAGAAGGTATCTTTAATAAAAACTTATTATTATAAAATATTAAAAAATTATTTTATATCTAGCTTTTCTGGAAAAGATTTTTATTTTTTAAAACTAATAATAAATAACTGCTTTTAATTAAATTTATATATAAAATCAGAAATTAATTTTTTACTTTAATTAAGAAAAGATAGCAACAGTATAAACTTAATTTTAAAAAAATTATAAAAAATAAATATTCTAGTATATCTTTAAATAAATTATTAAATAGATACTGAATAAAGAATTATTACAGATATATAATTACTAATAATATTCTTATAAATATTAATACAAAAGTATATTTTTAAAGGAAATTTCTAGATTCTCGAATAAATTAATATTATTAATATCTATTATATTATTTTTAGACTTCTATTATTTATAATAAAAGAAATTCTTTTAATTAAGTACTATACTTCTTTATTATCTATTATTTATTATTTCATATTATTAAATATATTTAGTTTAAATAAATAATTAATTTTATTATTTTAGTATCCTTCTAAATCCTTATTTTTTTCTAGTAGGGAAATCTTCACAACGGGACAACAGTCAAATAATGTCTGATAAGTTTATAAATAGTATCATTTAATAGAGCTCTTCACAGGAATTATAATAACATAATTTTTATTTTTTTAATTAATTATTCTGTGGAGCTAGAAGTATTTAAAGATAACAGTATTTTCTTCTAAATATAATTAATATATATAATGGAAATTTAATCGGGTTAGTATATGTAATAGAAATTCAAATTAGATTAATACTTTTTTCTACAGACTCTAAGCTTAATTAAGTCTATTAAGTATTATAAAAATAAGTATTATAATAATAAATATTATATAAAATAATATATTAATATTTTTATAATAGATTTTAAGAATTTTATATATTTTATAATCTAGAAAACTCAAATTATATATACTCCTTATTTAATATTAAGACGCGATATTACTAGTAAAATAATAAAATAAATAAAATAATAAAATACATAAAAAATAAATAAAATAAAATAAATAAAAATATAGATTATAATAAAAAAATTATATTAGTAGCTATCTAGATACTCTAGTAAAATAAAATAAGAGATTATTTATGGGCAGCCTGAGTATCTGATATATAATTATATTTATTTTAATAATTATCTTAATATTTAATTTTATTTACTTTATCTAGATTATATATTTTCAAGAAGTATTTCTTTTTATAAGAATATTAATATATAATAGTTTATATATATGCCTACAGTTATTTATAAGAAAGCAGAGGTTATGTATTAAATAATAAATTATAAAAATAATAATAATATTAAAATAAAATAAAATAATTAAAAAATAATATTATATTAATATATTTAGACCTCCGCGATCCCGCCGAGCCAGCAGATAATAGAGAAAAATAGTATTATAGTTAATAATCTTAATATAACTTATATATAAATAATATTCTAGTAGGGAAATCCTCACAACGGGACAACAGTCAAATGAAGTCAGATCAGGTTATAAGTAATATCATTTGATAGAGCTCTTCACAAGAAATACAGTAATATAATTTTTATTTCTTTAATTAATTATTTTATAGTGCTATAAGTATTTAAAGATAAGAGTATTTTCTTCTGAATATAATTAGTATATATAACAGAAATTTAATCAGGTTAATATATATAACAGAAATTTAAATTAGGTTAATATCTTTTTCTACAGACTCTAAACCTAATTAAGTCTATTAAGTATTATAAAAATAAATATTATAATAATAAGTATTACCCTAATAAGCATTACACAAAGTAATATATTAATATTTTTATAATAAATCCTAAGAATTCTATATATTCTATAGTCTAGAAAGCTCAAATCATATATACTTTTTATTTAGTATTAAGACGTGATATTACTAGTCAAGTAATAAAATAAGCAAATAATAAGTAAAATAAATAAATAAAAACATGAATTACAGTAAAAGAGTGAGTTGTATTAATAAATTATAAAAAAAAAAAAAAAAAAGAAAGATAATTTTATTATTATATTTTAATCTCTGTAATCCTGTTAAGTAAATAAATAATAAAATAGGTAATAATATATTTACAGTAATAGGAGCTCTCTTCTTATCTCTGTGATTATTATAAGAAACAGATAATTAAACAGGGTTTAAAAAATAATTAAATATTATATTTATTTATAATATTATTTTTCTTAGTATATCTTGTTCTCTCACCCCTCCGTGCAGCTGGTAAGATAAAAAGAAAAAGAGATTATAAAAGAAAAAAAAAAAAGAAAGATAATTTTATTATTATATTTTAATCTCTGTAATTTTGTTAAGTAAATAAATAGTAGAGTAGATAATAGTATTTTTATATTACTAGAATCTCTCCTCAGGAAACAGATAGTAAAGCAGGTAATAGTATTTTTATAATACTAGAATCTCTTCTTAGGAATCAGATAATAGAGCAGGTAATAGTATTCTTATAATATTAAAAGTCTTTATATTTAGAGATTTCCTGGCTATTTAATATATTTTATTAGCTTATTTTTCTACGGGGCTGCTAAGCTTATATTTTAATAATTATCTTTAAATCTCTGTAATTTCTGTAGTAAACAGATAATCGAACAGGGCTTAAAAAATAATTAGATATCATATTTATTTATAATATTATTTTTTTTAGTATATCTTATCCTCTCGCCCCTCTGTGCGGATGGTGATATAGAAAGAGAAAAAAATTATAAAAAAAAAAAAAATAAATAAATAAATTTTATTATTATATTTAAACTTCCGTGATTTCTGCAGAACTCTGATAGTAGAGTAGATAGTAGTATTTTTATAATATTTAAAATTTTCTGTTTTTTTAGTATATTTTATTAATTTATCTTTCCATGGGACTGTTGAGCTTGTATTATAATAATTATTTTTAAATCTCCGTGATTTCTGCAGAGAATAGATGGTAGAGCGGGTAATAGTATTTTTATAATATTATAAATTATTTATTTTTCTAGTATATTTTGTTATCTCATCTCTTAGTGCAGCTGGTGAGGTACAGAGAAGTAGAGATTATAAAAAAAAAAAAATAATAAAAATCTAATTAAATAAATAGCTGTTATT